CTCTGCAGTCTAGCTGCTAGAGTCTAGGCACCTGCTAGCTGCTTCTGGGCTGCCAAGCTCCATGCCACCTGCTTTTTTTTTTTCCCCGCAACCCGCTAGGCCCACTCTGCCAACAGCTGGAAGCCCCCAGTAGGCAATGAAACCTCTGATTCCCCCACTGCTTCCAGAGCATGAAGGAAGTGGTGTTTTTTTATAGCCAAGCTGTCGTGGGTTAGGGAGATGTTGCTGTCTGACCAGACTGAAGACTACTGCAGTGAGATCCAGTAGGTCTGTGAGCAGGGTCATCCGGGGTGGCTGTAGGCTGCCTCATCCAAAGAGAGACATCTTGAGTTGTGGCCAAAGCAAGGCCCACTGGAGCAGCTGCCAGAGCATTGCAGTGGTTTTCTCTGTCAGACAGGAGTCTCCTTGGGCAGCTCTGGGATTTGTGGCAGGTTTGTTGTTGTTTTATTTTTTCATTTTATTTTTATTTATTATTATTATTATTAATTTTGTTTTTTCGAGACAGGGTTTCTCTGTGTAGCCCTGGCTGTCCTGGAACTCTGTAGACCAGGCTAGCCTCGAACTCAGAAATCCGCCTGCCTCTGCCTCCCAAGTGCTGGGATTAAAGCCACTGCCCGGCTATTTTTTTCATTTTAAACATAACAAAAATAGCAAAACTATGTTGTTAATGTATGCTTGCAGACCTTTGAAGGGAGTAGCTGTCTGACCGCTCCTTGGGTTCCTGAGGGGAAGATGGGGTTATTGTTGCCTCCTGCTGGACAGTTTTTGGTTTTCCCTCAGAAGTCTATTTAGATTCGGAATATTGGGAGACTGTCAATTTCATGTTCCGTACTTGGAGAACTCTGTCTGAATCCAGGCTAGTTCTGCAACACAGTGACTCGGAAGGAAACACTTATGGCCAAAATGAATTAGGCTAGTGGCTCGGCCTTTTAGGATAAAGGATGTGGCACGTTCTAGAGACGTCAGGGATTTAAAACACAAAACTGACTACTACCGGGCACCCCACAGAACACTTTGAATTATTCCACATCTCGTGTCTGAGAGCCCTAACACCATCACTATCTGAATATCGTCCTGTTTGGAGGCGGGCAGGCTCACCCTACCCACCCTTGAGAAACTAAAGGGCAGACAATGAGTCTTAAGGGCTGCAGACAGACCTTATCAAATATCGTTTACAAACAGCTGTGAAGTCGGCTTCTGGACGACAGCAGCGGGATTCAAACGCTGCCCGCGTCACTGAATAAGCCTGCGTTCTGAGAAATTTACTGCGTGGACCACCCCAATCCCACCTAGGCCAACTGCGCTCCCTTCTTGGCGGGACCGTGTCTCCAGGCAGGCCACTCCGCGCACGCGCACTCCGGTCGCGGGCCGCACGACCAGTCTCGCGATACTTAGGCGTGCGTGCGCCTGCGCCTGCGCGGGCGGCGCTCACATTCCGGGGCTGTGGCGGCCTCTTCCTCCTGCGTCCGGGGCCCGCGGTGAGGGCTCTTAGGAGTCGGGCGCTGGCGTGGGCCTCGCCGCCGCCGCCGCCGGCCCTCTGCCGTGACTGGACTGGGCCGCCCGGAGTAGGCGCGGCCGGAGTGAACGGAACGGGGGGGAGCTTTCCTGCCTATGGGCGGCCCCTGGGCGCTCTGAGGGCCGGGCTCCGAGCGGCCGAGGTAGGGCGCGGGGCGGCGGCTGGCGAGGGGCCCGGCGAGCGAGGGCGCGGGATGCGGCGTCGAGCGCGGGCGCCTCCTTCCTCCCGGCCTGCCGGGCCCGCGGAACTTCCGCCCTGGCTCCCGCGGGCGTCGCGCAGGCGGAAGTCACGGCGCGGGCCGCGCAGGCAGGGCTGCAGGGTGGGCGCGGGGCTGCAGGCTCGCCTTCGAGCTGCGGTAGTCTCCGCATCCCGGCGACACGGCGGTCCGCCTCGGGTTCCGGTTAGGATGCTGGCTTCGGGCACCGCCGTGGGGCACGGTTAAGGAGCGCAGAGAAGACAAAGGGGACCGTTATTTATGTTGTGTCCTACCTAGTATCTGAACTTCTCGCGAGGCGGGGAGCGGGGCAGCACCCTCCGTGAGTGACACGGCCTCCACGCACTTGTTTAGAATTATAAGGTCATATGTAATTATATATAGTAGTTAGCCGGATAGTAACAAAACCCCGAGGGTTATTTGATCTTTGGAAGAGAACGGGATGTGGGCCTTTGAAGCTTTGCTATATTTACGAAGCTCCAAGGTGTCTTGTGAATGTACTAAAAGTTGTTTTCTTGGGAGCAATGTCTGCCATATTCAAGGTAAAAAGAAAAAAAATGTGATTGTTAAATTGAAAGACGGCCAGGATTAAGCACCCACAGTAAAACTGCAGGGAGAGCAGATCGCAGCAGACCTTCAAAACCACTAATTGAGTCACGGTGAAACTCCTCGTTGGCTTCCTTAAACTTTCCAGTGAACGGTTTTAAAAGAGACTTCATTGTTTGGCATGTGCAAGGCATTGGCTTCCACCCCTAGTACCACAAACAAAACAAAAACAACTGTAGCCTTTGCTTTGCAACACAATTTTTTTCCGTAACTCCGAGCTTACATTCCACCCACGTCGTAGAGAACTTCTTCCCACTTTCTTAAATGTAACCTACATCATTTTAGTGAACTTTGCATGGAAAGAATCCTATAATAGCTGGGGGAAAAAAAAACAATGAAGAGTGTTCGGGTCTTGAAGACAACTAGGGTTTGCTTCCCTGCACTATAAATGTAACTCCATGTGTTGCACACCGGAGCACTCACACTCATTTGTTCTCATGTAGACAAGCATAATTTAAAAAATAAGGTAGTAGCTGACCAAGCATGTTGGTTAACACCTTTACACCCATTATTTGCTCGGTGAGGCAGGAGGATTGCTATGAGTTTCAGGTCAGCTTAGACAAAGAGTAAGACAAACATCAAAAATTAAAACCCCAAAACCCAAACCAAAGAATTATTAGCAGGTAGGTCTTGGGATGGAAAGAGGTAGGCATTTTGAAGAACAGAATTAAAGTTGATGTGTTATCCAAATGCTGAAATTTATCATGCATGTTAATAGGATTTCATAGTGCTGAATTAGTTTGTAAAAATATTTTTTCTGGGCTGGAGAGATGGCTCAGTGGTTAAGAGCACTGGTTGGTCTTCATAGGTCCTTAGTTCAGTTCCCGGCAACCACATGGTGGCTCACAACCATCTATATAACGGGATCTGATGCCCTCTTCTGTCATGCAAATACATGCAAATGGAGTACTCATGTATAAAGAAATCTTTTTGTTTTCCGACACAGGGTCTCTCTTTGTAGCCCTGGCTGTCCTGGAACTCACTCTGTAGACCAAGCTGGCCTCGAACTCAGAAATCCGCCTGCCTCTGCCTCCCAAGTGCTGGGATTAAAGACGTGTGCCACCACTGCCCGGCTCATAAATAAATCTTTAAAAGGTATTTTTTTTTTTTTCCTTTATCTGGCAGTCCCATGTGTAGGACAAAGAGCTCGCACCTTACTACCTCATTTGTTTGCAGTCTATGAAGCTCAGGGCTGGCTATGACTCTGGATTCTCTCGATTGAGCTCTTCCCGTGAGCGCACTTCTGCTTGTGCGCATGCGCATGCGCATGCATTCGTATCGCCAGAAGTCAGTGCCAGGTGTCCTTGGCTGCTGCTCTCCATCTTAGTTAAGTTTCCCACTGAATTTGACCTGGAGCTCTGGATTCGGATAGACGGCAGACCGGTGGGTTATAGGAACCTGCTGTAGGTCTGCTACCTCCCCCATGGGGTTGCAGACACAAGGTGCCGTCCTTGCCATTCTTAAGTATGCTGGAGATGCAAACCCAGGCACTTCAACAGCGGAGCCAGTTCCAAGGGTTAGTTTGTTTGGTTTTTTTTTTTTTTGTCTTTTGAGGTCCTGGCTGTCCTGGAATTTGCTGTGCAATATCTAGAGAAAATTTGGGTTGTCATAAATTTTGGGGAAAAGCAGTATTACTGACATCTAGTGGGGTTCTGCTAAATCGCCTCCATGTAGAGAAGACCTGCCTGGCTGCCGTGACTGTATGCCATGCCAACACAAACTGTCGGCTCTCTTTTCACATTATCTAAATTCCTATTTGGCTTTGTAGTCTCCTAATGAGTGTCCCTGACAGATTGCTTAAAACCGATTCCCATTTCTTTAAAAAATAGGGAAAAAAAGGCTTAGTGTGTGTGTGTGTGTGTGTGTGTGTGAGCGTGTGTGTGTGTGTGTGTGTGTGTGTGTGTGTGAGCGAGCGCGCGTGCGCACCTGAGCAAGTACACATCCTTATTATGTGTGTGATTTTGTGTTGATACAGAGGCCAGGGTGTTGAGCATCCTCTGTTCGTGTTTGTGCCTGTTTCCCTCTTTCTCTCTTGGTTTTTTGAAAGACAGGCTTTCTTTGTGTAGCCCTAGCTGTCCTGGAATAAGTGCTGTAGACTAGGCTGATCTTGAACTCATAGAGATCACCTGCGTCTGCCTTCTGAGTGCTGGGATTAAAAATGAGTCCCAACAAGGCTCTACCTATTCTTTTGAGGCAGGATCTCTCCCTGAACCTGGAGCTTCTTTTTTTTTTTTTCCAGCTAATTGGAATCTCAAGCTCCATTGATCTTCCTGACTCTACTCCTGTCAGTGAGCTGTGTTTGTAGGCAAAACTGTAAGGTAGGTGCTAATATCCAAACTCTAGTCCCTAGAATTGTGCATCAAGCACTGATACCTGCTGAGCCAGTCTCCAGTCCCTGTTCCTGTTTCTTTAACAGCATACGCTGAGGATTATATGCAAAGTGCCTAGTATATAGAGAATGCTCAAAAACCAACTTTAGGCTAATATTATGTTTAAAACTTACCTTGAGGATTTCTGTGTCTTTATTCTTTCTATTTTTTCTCTGTTGTTGCTTGTTTTCCATGACAGGGTTTCTCTGGCTCTCCTGGAACCCCTTAGACCAGGCTGGCTAGGAACTAAGAGATCTGACTGCCTTTGCCTCTGTGCTGGGATTAAAGGCATGTGTCAGCTCTGTTTCTTTCCTGAAATTAGAATTGATGCTAGTGAAGTAGGTATTGATAATTAGCGCTTATATTTTTGGGAAGTGAGTAAAAATTATTCCTTTTAATATTTTTGTTTTTCTTTGACTAATTTTGTAATTTCAAGTCTGTGTTGCTCTGACCATAAACAAGTAGCTTCTTAATGTATTTTTTACTTTATAATTGAAGCCTTAAACTACCTGGGCAACAACTTTATTGATTCTCAACATCTACTGAGTTAAGTAGCATGTGTCTGTACAGTATGAGTTCTCTTTCCTTGTGCTGTCAGGAACTGAGTGCCTTATTCTGATATCTGGGAGGAATTGCAGTTTTATGTATGTGAAGGACACCACTTCAGGAGGGACCTTAATATGCACGTTCTGTTTTAAATCTGAATCAGAGCTCATGGCCTGCTCTTTCTTACAGTATTGTGACCTGAAAACTCATTGCCCATGTGGTACAGACTTATATAGAAGGGAAAAAAAAAAAAAAAACACAGACAAACCAATGACTTTGGACTTGTTCAGTGCTCTGTAAAGCAAGGAGATGGCACACCCCGTAATGACCTGTTTGACATTAAGTTTATGTGTTAGGAGTAAATGGTATTTGATTGTTACCACCCATATTTTTGTGTGTTCAAGTCTTGCCTGTTTGTGTGTGTGTGCTCATCTGGTTTAGCTGATCAGAACCTTTGTTTAGCCTGTGCTGATATTGCCTTTTGTGTGGATAGAGGCATTGAAAGGGAGTGTGTGCTGGGCCAAGACATTGTGTTCCTTGCTTGACGCTATCTGGTTTTGAAAAGTGTAACACACACTCAGGATTCTGTATAAATAATCCATTACCATAATGACTGGCTGTCCCTCTTGAGGAAACTGATCCGGTTAAGAGTGCACAAGTGAGAATGTGCTGCAGTACCCAGGAGGGCATGCTAAGGTTAGACAAGGAAGTCATTTTAATAAGAGTTCTGGGCTTTTATTTGTGCTGAAAAATTTTTTAACATTTATTTCTGTGTTCATGTGTGTGTATGAGTGTGTATATATTGATGTATGTATGTATGTTGTGCAAGTATGTGGCTTATCAGAGGGACAACTTGAGAGTAAATTCTCCTACCTTTCTGGTCAGTTTGGTGGCCAGAGGCTTTTCCTGCTGAGACATCTTTTTGGCCCTTGTTTTGGATTTTATCTTTCTAGGGTTTAATAACCTAAAAGGAAAAAAGCCTACAAATACTCATTTTCTACTTATATCAGCCTTGATCAGAATATTATAGGAATTAAATTAGTATTTTGAGGTCTGTTCAGAAGAATTTAGATTTTTAAAGAATAATTGTATGACTGTTTTGCCTACATGTATGTATGTTCACCATGGGCATGCTTGATGTCCAAGGAGTTCAGAAGAGGATGTCAGTCCCCTGGAACTGGAATTATTGATGGTATGAACCACCATGTGTGTGCTGGAATCTGAACCTTGGTCCATTGCAATAGCAGCAAGTCTTCTGCTGAGCCATTGTTCCAGCCTCTAATTGAGTGATCTTCTATGACATTTGTTCCTACCTATAACTGAGAAAACCATGACTTTTTGATGCTATTTGTGGTGTGACTTTTGGGGAGGCATGAACAACACGATCTATGTATTCTAGGTAGGGCACCAACAAATCAAAGAATTCCAGTCAAGGCTGGCTTAGTAAACCAGCCAGTTAGGTCATTTGCAGCTGTAAAGGTGACTGAGCAAGTTACCCCGCATGGGTCATAACCTGAGCTTCATCCCTAGCTCTGCTGTCTGCCTGGCCAGGTGTCTGGGTCCACTAGTCTTCCTCTCCTTAGCATCTGCTTCCTGGCTTTATAACCTTGTAGGGGGAGGAAGAGTATTCTCCTAATCAAATCTTCTGGGCCTCAGTCCTCAAGGAAGGAATGCTTTTTAGTTGGGTGGGAGTAGGGAGGCTGTCGTGGAACAGTGTTTGTGTTTTGGAGTCTACCGTATTTCCCTAATTTTAGGTAGTCTACATAGTTGTTAAAAGATGGTTTTTCCGTTATATTCTGTCATACAGATAGGAATTCATATGTATTTGTCTCTGTTTTTGGTAGAAGATGATGCATCCCGTTGCCGGCAGTAACCCAGCGTTCTGCGGGCCTGGCAAGCCTTCCTGCCTCAGTGAAGATGCCATGAGAGCTGCTGACCAGTTTGATCTGTACTCCTCCCAGCAAAGCAAATACAGCCACGCGGTCAGCCACAAACCAATGGCTTGTCAGAGGCAGGACCCGTTAAACGAGACACACTTGCAGCCTACCAGTGGCAGAAACATAGAGATAAAAGATGAACTAAAGAAAAAGAAAAACCTCAATCGATCTGGTAAGCGAGGCCGGCCTTCAGGAACCACCAAGTCAGCAGGATACCGGACCAGCACAGGCAGACCCCTGGGAACTACCAAAGCAGCTGGATTTAAAACGAGTCCAGGCAGACCTTTGGGTACAACCAAAGCTGCAGGATACAAAGTCAGCCCAGGGAGACCTCCAGGTAGCATTAAAGCTCTGTCCCGTCTTGCAGATCTTGGTTATGGCTGTGGCACTGCTGCCTTTCCTTACCCTATGATGCATAGTAGAGTGGTTCATGGGCTTCAGGAAACGAGTGGTGAAGTCAAGCCGCCCAGTGAGTGAGTGAGTGAGGCAGGAGAGCATGTGTTAGGAGCAGATTGTTAGTCATCCCAAAGCTTCTTGCTTTAATTTGACCTGATCTTACCACGTGGACTCCCCATTTTGTTTCTGTTTGCTCTTCCTCACCCCGCACTTCTTTTTCTTTCTTTTTGGCTAAGAAGCAGCCACAGTTGAGAGATGCACTTTGGGTAGGAGTAGTACATTGTATCTGTATTGTACACGGTTCACAGGACACTCAGTCATTTTTGCTTTCCCTTTGTGCTGTTCTAAGTGGACTCCTCGTGTGCTAAGCAGCTGCCCAAGTTAACTTTTATTTGCAAGTAACCCAGTGTGAGGCATTGTAACTGAAGGGCCAGAACAGCACTTAGTGAGCAGATCGGAGGGGATGGCTGTGTGAGTTTAGAACTCTGAAGTAAGACACAGCTGTCTGGATGCTTTGGAACTTAAAACACACCTTCTTATTTATTGGTTCGCATGACATTAATTGATCATTATTCCTCAAGCATTGTTTAGTATCTGCCTTGCAGAGATTAGTTACAGGGTATGTGATTTTCAGTTGCCTAAAGCGTATGCACCAAACACTACAAACAACTCATACTTAAAACCCTTGAATCCTTCGTAAACCTGTACATTATATTTAATATACAAGAAAAAAAGAATCCTTAAAAGTCTGCATGTAACTATAATCATTGTTTTGTCTTTCACATACTTAGTGATTTTCAAAGTATTATATTTAAAAACATTTATTACTATTGCTCATTTATTTAGAATTTTTTTTTTTTTTTTTAGTTTTTCTCAGTAATTGTTATTACACTGCATTAGTACTTAACTGCATTTTCAGGTTTATATCTACCAAAGTACACAAATTGAGTGGTTGGCTGCAAAATTGGTCTAAGCAGTTTCCTGTCTGTCGAGACCCAAGTACCAATAACTGTAACTCAGTATGTACGAAACCTGTAAAATGAGCGCTGCTGCTAGCATAAAAATGGCATCGTAGCGCCAGGATGACCGCTTCTTCCAAACGAAGTCTCCCTAGTGAGGCTTGCTTTAGGCACAGTGTAGAAAAGAGACAAATTCTGGGCATGTAGGTATACTTATTTATTCTGAGTTTGTTTTAAGTAAACTATTACGAACTTTAAAATTGAAAAGTTTGCCCTGGCCGGGCGGTGGTGGCGCACGCCTTTAATCCCAGCCCTTGGGAGGCAGAGACAGGTGGATTTCTGAATTCGAGGCCATCCTGGTCTACAGAGTGAGTTCAAGGACAGCCAGGGCTATACAGAGGAACCCTGTCTCGAAAAAAACCAAAAAAAAAAAAAAAAAAAAGAAAAAGAAAAGCTTGCCCTGGGCCATGTGTGGTGGCCCATGAATTTGACCCCAGCATTTGAGAGGCTGAAGCAGGCAGAGCTCTGAGTTTGAGGTCTACATAGTGCCAGAACAGCCAGTGCTAGGTAGAGAGACCCTGTCTTAAAAAAACAAAGAAAGAAAAGCTTTTACTGAACTTAAAAAACAATGTTTTTTACTTGCATTTTAAAATGCCTTTGAGATTAAAATGTAGATTTACAGGACTTTAAAAACTTTAAAAATAATCAGAAATTTAAAAGGACACGTACTGTTGGTTAGACTTGCTCTCAGTCCATGCAAACTGACTATATGTAAATACCATGTTTCAGACCTTTATCAGGGGACAGGCAACAAATCTCAGGTGCCCTGATGATAGCTGACACAACAGCTGGACATCTGCTCTTACAGTAAGCACTGTTACATTGCATGTGGGGACAGGAATCTCAGCAGTACTAGCTTCGCACAAACCATAGGGGACAGTGAGCAATACTGGGTGACCACTTAGCCAGTTGTAACATTCAGAAAGCTTCAAAAGTGCTTCAAAGAGTTTCTTCTTGCAGAAGCCTCAAATATAAAACTTAATAATTTACTCAGAACAGTGTAACCTCTGACACATGCAAATGCTTGTGTCTTCAGTGATGTATTCATCTGGTCACAAGTATCTGTCACTTAGCTGTTTCTGAAGTTGTTTAGCAGCTGGCTCTTTAGAAATCCTTGCACAGCTAGTTCCTGAAGACAGTTGAAGTAGTCTAGTGCAGAATAATCTCACCACCAAATGTTAAAGACTTGGGTGCGTGTTGTGTTTCATAGTAAGTCCACATGCATCAGTTTTATTTTGTTCCTGGTTTTGTACCTTGTCATTTCTTCTTGCCCTTTCTCACACCCACCTTCCCTCAGCTCTCCAGCACATCTACTCAGTGGTGCTGTGCCGTGTGTCAGAAGATTGAGTGGGTGTATTGTATAGTGAGTTTCGGATACATGTTCATGAGATGGGACATTGGTGTGAGGAGATTACATTGATAACAGTGTTTATATCAGGAGCTCTATCCCAGGAAAGGGGGGATGGATGGATGGCTACAGTTGTGAATGGATAACGTCACTTAGGAAACTGAATTTACTGTTCTGTGAGCAGTCACCTGGAATATTAAATGTGTGCTCTGGTGAACATCTGATTCTACTTTTCTCCTTGTGGACAGTTACTAGTGCCATGCTGGAGAGGCACGGTGAGGACAGGAATGAAGTCTTCACATAAAAATATTTTTACTTCTACATGATCTAAAGACTGCATTCTGCATCTTTTGTAACCTGGTTTTTTGTCATGACAGACACTGAAATAGCATGCGAAGCAGTTGCCTAGATGCCAGTATATTCAGTCGGGAAAACTGTCGTTCCCCCTACCCCACTTCAACTGTATAATTGTTCCTTAAAAGGTAAATTGCTAATTTTATACTGTGTGATTCTATTCATAAATAGGTTTCACTATTCTATATTAAAACTTTGTCAGAAAATGATCTACTATTCAAGTAAGTTTGTTTTAGTTTTTTCTTAAAAGGATATTTAACATGCCTTATTTATTATTGTTATCAAAACAAATAAGGAGTCAATACAGATGAAAATTTCATTTTCCACAGGTATCACCTTGCCTAACTAATCTTTAGTATGGGGTGATTTTGATACTATCTTTGGAGTTTTGCACTGGATATTTAAAAATATATATATATTGGCACAATATATTGAAAAATTTAAATAGTATTTGGTTTAATTTTTAATATTTGAAACATTTTTTAATTAGTGTTTAAATCAGACTAACAATTCTTTGTATTTTTAATTACTTTTTTAAAAGGAACATCTGAAAAGTGGTATTTATTAATTCCAAACTGGTGTTTGTGTGAATTTACATATATATTTTCATGAAGTAAGAATAGAATTTCTTTGAGGTAAAATCTGGATCCATTTATTATGAGGTTAAAGATGCTTCATCCAGTGTAATAATGACCACAGTGTGTACATTTAAACAGTGAACTTCTTCATACTTTAAGAAGCTTTAAGAGAACAGTTCAGGGGATACTAAGATGATTGCTCTGTCAGTTCCTTGTCTGTATGCAGTAAAATTTTATGATCCGTTACAGGTACATAACAGTTCACACAACAGTCTTGGGCATAAAAAGTTTTGATGCTCTTTTGTTCTGTCTGTTCTAGCATAATGACTGCACTCAAACGCTAAGATGTATCTAAATATTTGCTTTTCTCCCTTTTCCTTCCAAGTAGACAGACCTGTGCTCTCACATACAATGTATTTAAGTTTTTTAGAAGTGATGCTGTAGTATGTCAATTGTGTGATCTAATCGGGCCACTCTGATTTTTTGATTCACAATTTTTTTCCACAGACAATTATGAAACAAATAATTGCCAGTTAACTGATAATAAGCACGTTGTCCTCTGCTGTAAAAAGTCTGAATAGATACTGTGTATGTTTTAATGTCCATGAACTTGAGCTACTCGTGTGCAATTATGTGTATGGAATGGAGTAGTGTTCATGATTTGTATCTACATCATCATATGGATGTATATTTATTAATAAAGTCATCACTTTAAGCCAACTGTGTACCACTTTCTTTTCTTCCATTTGTTTATTTTGTATATGGGGGTTCAGGAGTCATGCGCATGTCACAGTATTTGTATGGTCAGAGAGCAGCCTTTGGGAGTTGGTTTTCACAATGCTCTGTGGGTCTTTGGATCAAGCTCAGCTTGTCAGTTTCTGCAGTACCTGATCCACTAAGCCTTCTCTTCCTACTGCTTGGTTCTTAGCACAGTAGAGAAGCCATAAATGAAAAGGGAGACCTTTTCATCATTTGTTGGTAGTATGTTATTCTCAGGATTCTGTATTCTATTATTTTTATTTGTTTGTTTGTTTGGTCTTGTTTTCCAGACAAGGTTTCTCTGTGTAGCGCTGGTTATCCTGAAACACATTCTGTAGACCAGGCTGGCCTCAAACTAAGAGATCCTTCTGCCTCTGCCTCCAGAGTGCTGAGATTAAAGGCATGCACCACTACTACACCTGGCTGAAATTTGCATTTGAATCTTCCTCTTTACTTGTTTTTTTATATATAATTATATATTTGTATTTCTTGGGTTTCTGGGTTTTTTTTTTTTTTTTTTTTTTTTTTTGCTCCTTGGGTTCCTGTTATTGGGACTGGAGAGAGATGACTTAGTGGTTAAAAGCAATTACTGTTCATTAAAAGTATCTGTTTTTAAAAGTACATCAGGCTAATAATATGTTGCTTTCATTAGACAGCCTAATGTAGTCCACATGGGCCTCTGACTCACTATTACAGCTAAAACTGGCCTTGTACTCATTTTTTTTTTTAATTAAAAAAAATTAATTTGGGGCTGGAGAGATGCCTCAGTGGTTAAGAGCACTGACTGCTCTTCCAGAGGGCCTGAGTCAGTTCCCAGCAACCACATGGTGGCTCACAACCATCTGTAATGGGATCCAATGTCCTCTTCTGGTGTGTCTGAAGACAGCTACAGCATACTCATATACAGTAAGTAAATAAGTATTAAAAAAGTTAATTTGTGCGCATGTGCACATGTGTGGGTATCTTCAGAGACAAGAAGAGGACATTGGATACTCTGGAGCTAGAGCCAACAGTTATGGGCTCCTATGTGGGTGCTGAACTCAGGTCACCTGGAAGAGCATCCAGTGCTTTTAATCTCTGAGCCGTCTCTCCAGACACTTTTCATTTATTTCTTTGTTGTTTGGATATTGTTATTTCTTGGTTGTTGGTTTTGTTTTGAGATGGGGGTCTCTGTATATAGCCCCGGCTGTTCTGAATCTCACTATGTAGAGTAGGCTGGCCTCAAACTCCCAAGTAGTTGCTGGGATTTAGGCTTCACCTCTTTTTTTGAGACTCTCCAGGTTACCCTCAAACTTACAATGTAGCCAGGGATGACCTAGAGTCATGGATCTTGTTCTGGGATTGATTACAGGTGTATACCACTGTACCTAGTTGTAAATTATTGTTGCATTTTTATTGTATGAACATTTGTGTATCTGTATGTGTGCATATGTTCTGCTGTGTGGCTTCTGGGGTAGTCTGTCTTGGTAGCAAGCTGGCAGCAAGCATTTTCAATGAGCCATCTCACCAGGCAGTCTTACGTGTGCTTATCTTGTTTCTGAAGTCTTGCAAAATTCATGTATCACCCGTTGTGTTTTGTGTGTGTTCCTAAGGATTTTCCTTGATTGCTTTTACTAACATTAATTATACATATTTAGAGTATATTTTGATTATATCAATCCTTCATTCTTTGTTGACCCCCTTCTCCAATCCCCTTCCTCTTCTGAAGCAGCTCCCTCCTATCGTGTCTGGTTTTGTTTGGTTTTAGTTATCCAAGAATTTCAGTACGGTTACTTGTGAGCATAGGCACCTTACCAGTGGCTGTTGGCAAAGAAAATGCCTCTTCCTTCTCCAGCAACCATTGAATGCCGGGTGGGGAGTGTTTTGGGGGAGGAAAGGATTTTGACTTATACTTCCACATCAGTTCATCAAAGGCCGGCAAGGATGGATGGAACATCCTCTTGGCTTGCTCAGCCTGCTTTCCTGTAGAACCCAGGACCACCAGCCCAGGGGTGGCGTCGCCCACAAAGGGCTGGTCCCTCCCTTGTCATTCACTAACAGGCTTGCCCACAGCCTGCCCTTATGGAAGCGTTTTCTAAATTGAGGTGATCTGCGTGAGAACTAGCCAGGACAAATAGATTTGTGGGTGAACATCTGTATTAGTTACTTTCTGTTGCTGTGATAAAATGTCCTGAAACTATCAAGCAGAGTGAGACCTAAGGGGACTGCGCTATACAACCTCAAAGCCCTCTTACTAAATGTTTTG